ATCAAAAGAAAGGAGAGTGTAGTTAATACAGAATGTTACTGAGACAGGGGCATTTGCATGTCATACAGCTACTTCAGTTAATAAGTAGTTTTTGAAAGTCCAAGGGTTGAATAATGAAGGTTCTCTGGGGATGAGGAATATTCTTTATTCACAGGTTTTCCCCTGTGATTTGATTCCTTCTCACTTTTTCCTCTGAAATGAAACAATTCAGCTCCTGTAAGCATTTCCACCTGAGTAATTCATAATTAAACAATTCATAAACAAAGCCTGCTTTTTGTTTCTTGGAGAATGAGAACACTGGAGGTGGAAATGTTGGTAGGGATTTGACAGTGATGTACAAAGCCAAAGGCAATAGAGTAAAACGCCTGCATCCATGGGCAATATGTTCCCAAGACCCTCTCGCAATAATGAAATCACTGATAATAGTGAACCCTGAGTCTTGACTGTACTTGGGCAGGAAGCATACCATAGAATCACACTAGAGGACGTAGAGAGGCCCGCAAATACATTTGAAGGGGATATCTTTATGGAAGAGAAACCATGGGGATTGAGTTTGCAGATATTGGGGGTCTTACTGCATCCCTTCATGCTGATGTTGGGAACCTGAAAATGTCAGTGTGACAAAAGAATGAAATGAGTCCCTATGAGGAGGTAGAGCAGCATATAAATAAAGTTTTTTTTATTATAGTTTTATTATAACGTGGCACAACATTTGCTTACTAAATAGTCAACAGATTTGGTTATAGGAGAGAAGATCATCTGATTCCATTCAGAGATTGCAATAATGAGGTTGAATCTATTTGCTCTTTTTTATGTGTTGTGTTGCAGTCTTATATTGGACAGCATTATCTGATAGTAGCACTTTGTTCAAATGTAAGATTTATTTATTTATTTATTTATTTACTAGCTGTTCCCTGCCATATGTTGCTGTGGCTCAGTCTGTGTATATGTGCTTTGTGTGTGTGTATATATTTGTGTATATGTGTATATATGTGTGTTTGCGTATATATATGTGGTTATGGGCATGCGTTGTAATGTAAATTTTATTTTTTTGGCTTTTTAAGTCCCTTCTGCTGTGTTTTTTGGTGTTTTATGACTGATGGTCACTCATTGGCCTGATAGGTGTATTGTGTCCACATTTGGTGTCAATTCGTCCAGTGGTTTTTGAGTTCTGTTAATCCCACAAACAAACATTACATTTTTATTTATATAGATTTCCTGCATTTATATACCACTTGTCTCACCTCTGATGGGAACTCAAAGAGGTGTACATCAAGTAATAGCAAGATTCAATGCCAACGTACATTTAAAACCAAAGCATAATATCTAAAACAATGTCATATAACTATAAATTAAGACCATTAAAATCATATTATACATAACACATAAACATCATTTAGACAATTAAATGTATAGCAGATCTTTCTTACACTGAATATTCACTTTCCTATAACTTTTGCTCTGCAGCATCTATATCTTGGTACTATTTTGCATTTATTGCAGTTAATAAATATGTCTTACGTTTTTCACTGTAACAGTTAGCTTTCCAGCTGTGTTCAAATATCCAAATCTCTTAGCAATATGAATAGCTGTCTCTGTTTTGAGTTTCATGTTTTTATCACAAAATGTACAATAGATTGGTTAATCTGCCCCAATGTTAAAAGAGTCCGGGCATATACAGAAGATAGTGCCATCTATGGATTTTAACAGGATGCTGGAGGTTGATTTCTTGTGACTGTGGAAGTCTCTAAAACATAGTATGAACCAATCCATTAGAATGAAATGTAAATTTCTGTGTGACTGGGCTTGTTTTGATAATGTTGATCAATCTTTTCCAGAGTTTGGATTGGCAGATTAGCAGTGTAGACTTTTGTACAGTTAAAGCTTGTGCGCCAGCTACGGCCATACCTTGGGAAGTCTGATCTGGCCATGGTTGTCCACATTTTGGTTACATCCCGAATAGATTACTGCAACACACTCTATGTGGAGTTGCCTTTGAAGACTCTTCAGAAAGTCCAACAGGCGGCAGCCAGATTACTCACCGGAGTGCCATACAGGGAGCACACCACCCCCCTGTTATGTCAGCTCCACTGGCTGCCGGTCCACTTCCAAGCACAATTCAAAGTGCTGGTCTTGGCCTATAAAGCCCTATACGGTTCCAGCCCAGCTTACTTATCTGAACGTATCTCCCTCTACGTTCCACCTCATAGTCTAAGATCTGCTGGTGAGTCCCTGCTCTCAGTCCCACCAGCCTCACAAACTCCTCTGGTGGGGACGAGGGACAGGGCCTTCTCGGTGGTGACCCCCCCCCCCCCCACCGCTTGTGGAATTTGCTCCCCAGCGAGATTAGATTGGCGTCCTCCCTTCTTTCCTTCAGAAAAAAACCCTAAAATCGTGGTTTTGGAACCAGGCTTTTGGCTAGTGGACGCAGCAGCACTTTGAACATGGAACTGGACCTGACAACTGTTATGATAATTGGTAACAGATATGTGATTATAGAATTAATTGTTACTGTTTTTAACCTTTTATGTATTTTATACCTATGTTTATTGATATTGTGGCATCGAATTGCTGCCTGTGTCATCCCACCCAGCGCATGTCCGGCCACCCTTCCTCCTGACCTTGCCCTCTGGGTCGGGCCCACAATTAGGCCCCAAGGCAAAAAAGGTTTGCCTATGTCTGTTCTAAATGTTTCAGTTTTTTTTTTCTTTCCCTTCTCTTCCCACTTTCTCCCTTTGTCCTCAGCTGCTTGCAAATTTAGGGCCCTTCCACATAGCTATATAACCCAGAAAATCCCACAATAGCTGTTTTGAACTGGAATGTATGACAGTGTAGACTCAGATAACCCAATTCAAAGCAGATATTGTGGGATTTCTTGCCTTGGTATTCTGGGTTATATGGCTGTGTGGAAGGGCCCTAAGTTCATATTGCAGAAGTACTTTGCACTCAATCAACTCAGCAGGAATAAATGGAAAGGAGGTAAAGAACCTTGCCCTTCCTAAACTCAGTTCTTAAATCACAAGGTTTCTCTGTTTAAACATGTAATTTAGACTATTCTTCATCATTAATAATTTTTGCATGTTCCTGCCTGCCCACAGTTTCTAGTGTAGCTTGTATAGATGCATTCCAGTTATTGTTTGTAAAATGTTGGAGGGAATGCATTCTGTATGTGGAAAATATGGGAGTAAGCCAGAATAAGTTCAGTCAAGTTTAGTTTCTCTCCATTTCTCATTTTGGAAATCCTACATTATTCTCGTCCCACTATAATTCTGGACCTAAGACTTGATCTACATTGCCTATACCACCATTTGATGCTGTTAAACAACTCGTTCCTCCACCCATTACCATCAGCAGATATTCTTGTAGCCTAAAGGAGAGTTAGATGTGATGAGAAGCAGAGAATATTATGCACTATCAAGAAATGATAATAAAGCCTGTGAAGGCATGTAGGATAGTCCTTTTCTTTCTATAAATACAGATAGATTTCCATTGCAGTAAAACAAATACTTAGTTTATTGTGGCCTTTATTCTAGGGCACAAGTGAGCATAATAATTAATCCAGTCCTGAGCAAGGGTGTCATAGTAACTGGCTCAAAGCTACAGGCTAAATGACCTAGCAATAGTTTGTTCAGTGAGAAATATAGGAACAGCAAATGCTTGTTCACCAGCTGCAGAGGGGTGTTCCCTCTAGCTCTATCACAAAAGATATAGTGTTTTCTGGATATCACCAAGTTAGAAAAATGGCTGAAAAATGCATCACAGGAAACACAAGCTAGAACAACTCCCCAATTAGGAAAAGTTGCCAACATTGATGCTCAGGAGGAAAAAGTAAGCAGAAGTACTATGAGCTACGGAAGTACTATGAGCTACGGAACTCACTGCAATGGTTGTCAATGTAGATGGATTCCAAAGAAGACTGGGAAAATTCTTGGATGTTGGTACTATCAAAGGCTACTAGTTAAGGTAGCTACAAGTTATATATTAGGATGGAGCACACAAGTAAAAATAACATTATTTTCTGATGGAGGCTAAAAGGATGCTGGATCAAATATACCTTTAGTGTGGTTCAATGTGGTTCTTATTTTTGGAATGTATACCTTACCTGGTTTGAAAAGGTCTCTGAAGGGCTGTTCCTACATGTGATGGCTGACTACCCCAGTTCCATTTTATAAACAGTATGGAGGTTGGTGACTGAATCTTATTCTGACCATTATATTAGGCTTCATACTGCTCCCAGTCCAGTGACCCAGTAACATTGCTCAATAATTACCTAAATAGTGGAAACAAGTTGACCTATGTGCCTGAGTAACAACTGTGGATGTTACATACGTCTACTACCAAGGCCTTCACCTTCTCTGGAATGTATATTGCAGCTTACAGATATTGGTCAACTAAGGAATAGGCATCACAGATTAGTAAGCCTTGGAATAACTCTTCTATCACTACAGGCATTCCCTGAAATACAAATATCCAACTTACAAATGACTCATAGTTAAGAACAGGGGTAAGACAACAGGAAGTGAAAGTAATTTTCCCCTCAGAAGGGAAATTTACTCCTGAAAAGAGTAATCATGGGGAAAAGCTGTCTCCACTTAAGCTTTACCACCAGTCCTTGTTTCCACAACAAGACATTTTTCTAAAACAGATAATTGAGAATGAGGAGCAAGCATGAGAAATGTTTGGCCTTCTGGAATTCTCTGTCTCAAGTTTTTAGAAGCCCCAGCCAATGTGGTAAGGGATTATGAGTAGGATTTATGAGAATGGGGTTGCTGGCCATGTATGTGCCAATGATGTTAGCCAACAGCTCAATGGCATGTAACAGCATGTCCCTATTTGTTGTAATGGGTTTCCAGAAAAATAAGGTGGGGACTAAATAAAGCTCTGGAAACCCAAAACCCTACTCTAATACTTTTTCCTCTGTTAGTTGTATATTTTAGCTTACTATACTGTGGATTATACAGTGAATTAGATATTAACTCTTATGCTCTTCTTAAATGCAGACCTCCCTTTCAACAGATCCAGTGGGCTGAACATTTCTGCCATGGACAATTTCAACTTCACCACTACACTGAGTTCTTGGGAAGAGAACACAACAATATCTGTTTCTAAGAACATTTCTCTAGCTACCACCCTCGGTGTGGATGTCAGTGGTGTCCTTATTCCTATAGTATACCTCATTGTCTGTGTAGTAGGACTAGCTGGGAATTCCTTGGTCATCTATGTGGTTTTGTGCCACTCAGTCAGTGAATCTGTAACCAACGTCTACATCTTCAACTTGGCACTGGCAGATGAACTCTTTATGCTTGGCCTTCCCTTCTTGGCTGCTCAAAATGCATTGTCTTATTGGCCCTTTGGTTCATTTATGTGCCGGCTGGTCATGGCTGTGGATGCCACCAACCAATTCACTAGTATTTTTTGCCTGACTGTGATGAGTGTTGACCGCTACTTGGCTGTGGTTCACCCTGTGAAATCTTCAAAATGGAGGACAGCACGAGTGGCCAAGGCAGTCAGTGCCACTGTCTGGGTACTCTCTTCAATAGTTGTGCTGCCAGTATTGGTGTTTTCAGAAGTCCCTCAGGGTATGAACACATGTCACATTAAGTGGCCTGAGCCTGCAGCTGTATGGCAAACTGGATTCATTATCTACACAGCTACACTTGGCTTCTTTGGACCACTGCTGGTCATTTGCCTATGCTATCTCCTTATTGTTATCAAGGTTCGATCTTCAGGCAGGAAGGTACGAGCAGTGACAGCCAAGCGCAAGCTATCTGAGCAGCGGGTCACACACATGGTGGTAGCTGTAGTGGCTGTTTTTGTGCTCTGCTGGCTGCCTTTCTATGTGCTCAATATCATCAATGTTATATGGACTTTGCCAGAGGAACCTTCTCTTTTTGGTATCTACTTCCTTGTTGTAGTGCTGCCCTATGCCAACAGCTGTGCTAATCCCATCATCTATGGCTTCCTCTCCTATCGCTTCAAGCAGGGTTTCCGTAGGGCCCTCTTGAGGCCATCCCGTCGAGTGCAGAGCCAAGATGTAGCAGCAACTGCAGCAGGTAAGATGGAAGAAGAGGAGGAGGAGGAGGAGGAAGAAGAAGAAATGGAGGCAGAAACAAGCGAGATCTGTAAGATTGCCCAGAATGGTAATGGCAGACAAGAGTGTCGTTCCATCAGTGGGTCTGGAAGAGGAAGTGAACAGAAGCAACTTCCTGAGGAACCTGTCAGCTGTGAGAAGCCCAGCATCATGAGCATTAGCTACTTATAATGACTAGGAACTTTATTCTCTTTGAAATTCTCTGGCTATGAATCACACAGAGTAACAAGTAAAGGGATTGCCCATAAATTAAGCTGTGTCTAAAGGGTTTAAGGAAGCCTGGAAGCAATGTGGGTTGATAAATACCCAGCTCTGTTCTCCAAAGAAAGGTTCAATAATGATTTCCACTGGCCACACCAGAATCACAACTACTGCTGGGTAGGAGCAAAAGCTTTTGGATTTGATTTTAAAAAGGGACCTTCCCCGGCTGAACTGAGTTACTCTTCTATATACTTATCTGCCTTTGACAGACATTACTCTTCAATGTATACATGTCAGCATTTTATAGTAAAAGGGGGTCATTTATTTATTATGGCTTTGTCGCCACACTAAGAATCTGTCTCCTTGACTGTTTCTGAAGTTCAATTTATGAATAATTTAGCCACATTTACACAAACAAGCAAAGCAAAATATCTTAATACAGCCTTCCCCAAGCCAACACCCTGCTTATGAGTATGACTACAATACCTGAATTCACCAGGCAATGAAATCAGAAAGCATGAGATTTGGGGTGTAACACATGGGAATCTAGGAGGGATATAGGGTGCTCTTATGTTCTTTTGGAAGACTGCCTATCAAAATACGGTTGGTTACTGTGTGCCAAAACGCTGAACTAGAAAGGTCTTCAGGCTGATCCAGCTGATAGAAAGGATCAAGTTGAGGAAGGCTGCCTTAAGAGAATTTTAATGACACCATGACTTTAATTTTATTTCTTAAGCAGGATAGATGTGGGGGTTTCTCTCCCCTATAAAACTCTTAAATTCATTAATTGAATCCAAAATATTGGTAGTTGTCTGAGAGGAAAGAGAAAGGCAGAAGTAAAGTTCCTGGGTCTTTTAGGCCACAGTTCATAGAACCCTGATTCTGAGAGCTACAGTTCACAAAAGTAACTTTGCCAAACCTAGAAGACTAAGGAGTGAGGAAAGAGGATCTTTCTGACTGCATGCTTAGTGCAGGAATACGTTGTGGATGGAAGAACTGATGTCAGTGCAGAAATCTTTTAACACAATGACAGTTGGTGCCTTGCCTGTGAGGTGATGCATCCAAATTTAAATCCAAGTTTTAAAGGATCTTTCCAAGGCCTATCTACACTGCCACATAACACAGTTTGAAACTACATTATATGCCAGTGTAGATGGTGCCTGAATTATTAAACATTAATCTGAAATAAATTCAGTACCTTGGATAGCTCTTTTAAACCTTCCTAAATTCTTGGTGAATTCATCACTGTGCTGACATGAAAGCCATCGGCCACTATTGTTTCCATGTACAAATCTACCCCTGTCTGTCACCAAACTTTCTTGATTTTAATGTCCTAATTTAGGAGGAGGAGAAGAAAAGTTTCTCATGTTTATTGTTAAACTATTGGGAATCAGAAATCCTTCTTGATTTATCACAAATCACCCAGAGATCTACCAAAAGATCTTTATTTACCATTTTCCAAGCACATCTTAGAGTCCACATGAAGGGAGGGAATTATGGTTGGTTCCATCTTCACTCAGCACTCCACCCTGCTGTGGGAGTATAATAATGCAAACCTTCAACATCAGCATGTTGTAAGGATGGCTGACTACAGAGGTGTGTGGGTACAGTTTGCCAAATTCCAGTTGCCTTCATATATGTTGGTCTGGAACTGCCATCACCCTTAGCACACATAACCATGTTATTTGGGGATGATTGTCATTTTTGTTCAATATATCTAGATGGCATCTCACAGTGATCTAAAGCAATGCAGATCAATCTATCTGACTGGCAGGGTTGTTTTTTTCCCCTCCCAGGGTCCATTTGTTTCTTTCCTGGAAGCTTATCAAGGACTCACTATTAATGGCTGGACAGCTGGGATCAGTCCATCAACCACCACTTTTGTAGCACTGCTCTATACTGCTGTCTCATGCTAAATACTGTAATGATCCTCCTTGCAGCTTTACAACATATGGAATATGTTTAAGAGGGGTTCTTTAAATATAACTTTCCTTTCAACAGCTTATGGTTGCTGTACCCATGTGGTAAGCAGTGAACAAGGCAGGAAGAGACACCTTGCCATATGTACTACCTAGCATTTCAGAAGAGAGACCAGTTCTTCGGGGGGGGGGGGGGACACATATATTCACCAGAACCATGAATCCATTTTTGTCCTTGCTGCCTTTTCAGTTCAGGGTCAGATCCAAAATAGTATTGCTCTTCAAGCATCTTTCCCCCTGAAATGTCTCATGGTCCATTTTAGGAGTTGTGATGATAAGGGAGTGATGTAGTGCCAGAGAGTATAAAGTAGAAGGAGGAAGCATAACAAGTGTGTCAAAAACATTCATGTAACACTGAGCCTTTTTACCCAGGAATGAAATTAAATCCTGAATTAAAACTTCACCTTGCCTTTATATTTATATTTGGTATTGAGAGAAAGAACTGCCAAATGTCAAAAGCCCACATAGAAATGGGTATGGCAGGTTTGCAGCAGACTGCTATCATCCTTCCCATGTAGAGCACTTCAATCTTAAATACTTTGGATGTGAGGAAAGGTCTGGCCAGATGGGAATAAGAAATTCTGAGGATTATGTGAGATAGACTTAAATTATCTCATGTGGACTGGCAAGATTTCTTTCCCAATATGTCAGGAATGGCATCATATCAGTTCTCATTAAGTAAAACTGCTTCTTTCTTTCTTCAAAAGTCACAGAAGACAAGAAGCCAGTAGCTTGGGCTATGGATCACCACGCTAAGTTGCACCTCTTCAAGTGGTGTCCATGGCCCAGTACTGGTCTTTCAACCAACTGTTATGAATAATTTTTCAATAACTTTAAACATAGGTTCTTCTTATTGCAATTTTCCAGTAAGAGAAAGTATATCAAAACTTTTACAGGACAATATGTACACATACAGACATACAGATTCTATGTAACTACAACTGGATTCACAAACAATCTGCAGTTACACTGGCTAACAAACAAATAGGAATTACATTTGTACTCAGCATTCACTTACACATATACATTCAGACATCCTCATTCATATATCACCATTTCTACAGTCTTCCTCCATGAAGAACATCTCTTAGGCCAGACTGCTTCCTTGCAAATCTGCCAATGCATAGTTCTAAAACTTCTTAAACTTCATAGTGCATCCTTTCCCTAAGCACAACACCAAGGATCAGATCTCTGTTTTCCATAGAGCAGAAGTTGGCTCCCTGCACAAAATCCAAAACTCCAAAGTTGCACTCTTTTCTCTTTCCTTGAGAAAAGAGCCCAAGTGACCAGACTTCTGCTTTCCACTGCAGATCTACCACTTCCAAATACATATGTGACTCAAAAATATACCAACTCTCTCCTTCCCAAGGAGCAGAGTGACAGTTGGACCAGACTCCTCTGGTCTGCCAGACTTGAGAATTATTAGATTGAGTATTTTATAGGAATATTCTGCTGTGTTGTTTCAAAGTTGTAACTGAATGATAGATATTTTTCCAACCTGAAACATCCTGGCTTCATCAGTTCCTGGACACATGTTGACTCTTTGTATTTGGGGTTGATAAAGAACAAGGCTTGTGTTGACTTCCTTCTTAACCTAAGGAATCTAGTAAACATTTCCTTTACTTAAAAGAGCTGTTGTTTCTGATTAATGTAAACAAATTGTTTTTCCCCAAAAGTTCAACAGTTAATCATTGCCACCGTTCTTATCAATGTCAGCAGTTCAACAACTTTTAATTACAGGTCTGCAAGCAGGCTGTTGTTTTCCAGGAATTGTGTCTCCAACATTATTATCTCTCATTCATTCATTCCTTTCATTCAGTTCATTCATATCCACACATATCATATCCACATTTATTAAATCTGCACATTATATTTTTTGTGACATAACTGGTGTAGATTGTGGATGGAAAATGGTATAGGATCAAAGAAATGTACACTTCCCATGTTCCACTGTATTCCAGACTCCCCTCCTTCTCACCACAAAACCAGAAGGGTCTAAATTTTGACCTGAGCTATTGTTGGAATAGAATTCAACATAATAGAATCTTCAAAATCTGAACTAAAACTCAGATCAGATCCACCACTTCACTGGCATGTCAATAGCATTGCCAAGTGAAAAACAGAATAAGTCTCCTTTATACTTCTTAGAAGTGGAGAAGGGAGAGTTTCAGCTGATAGGATTTGCACGACAAATAACATTTGCTGAAATTCCATCTTCTACACAACCATTTAAGGTATAGGGGTCCTTTTCTTGTTTTTCACCTGGCAACTTAAAATGGAAATAACAAGCTGCTCCTGGAAGCATTAAAAAGACCATTTAAATCAGGGTTGTATAACACTATGCTATACTATACCATACTACTATAGTGTTGTCATTTCATTTTAATTGCCATGGTAAATTCAATTGTGGATGTTTTATTATGTTTTTGTTAAATTTATTGATGTTAGGGTCTAATGTTGTTTTCAGATGTGGTTTTATTTGGGATTATTATGTCGTTACTTGTTTGTTTTACTGAGGCATGTTTGCCTTGAGTCCCCCCCCCCTTCCCGGGAAATAGGGTGGAATCCAAATAAATTGTTGTTGTTGTTGTTGTTGTTGTTGTTGTAACATCATCTGGAATCCTAGGATTGGAGTTTAAGGAAGGACATTTAGAATCTTAGCCAGAGAACTCTTGGGCTTCATTAAACTAGAAAACTGAGATTCCCACAGAATGTTTCCATGGCATTTAAAGTGGGGTGATAGCACTTTAACAGTGAAGTGTGACAGAGTCTCAGACAATGTTTGAATCTTCCAAAAGAATGAGATTCTTTGGGGCAAACCTTGACAAATGAACTGGTATAAAATCTATATACATTCTGAACTCCATTTCATAGAGTTAAAAAAAGACTACAGGGGCCATCCATTCCAACCTTCTGCAATGCATGAATACAAGACTAAAGGACTCTTGACATCCAGCCTCTGTTTAAAAACTTCCAAAGAAGAATATACAACCACACCATTTATCATTTTAAGGCATCTGTGTCTTTAGAAGCTTCTCAATAGGAAATTGTTGAGAAGATAAGGGAGAAGCATGAATGCTATATTTGGGCACAGGACACCCAAAATCTTTGATTTCCACCCTTAACATTCCTTCAAATCTCTTCAACATTTCAGGAGTTCTTTTGCCCAGTGTTGAGCAAGATCCCTTCAAATGATTTGTGAGTTTGGCAAAAAAGATTCTTCGATTGCTACTTGTCCCAAGAAAAGCTCCATGTATTGAATTTCTGCCTACCAATCAGCTATTTATGGCAGGACCTTCACCTATGAGGCATATTTTCTTTCATGGAACATAAAGGAAATTCTGTGACAAAGGATAAGAGAGTGTGGGTGGGTGGACCAGTGAGAGAATGTGCGTATGTGTTTTCTTCTGTCTTACTATGCTTGTCTAAGTGCAGGCATATGCCTTTCCTTCACCCCCACACCTTGAACTTTTCTATACATGTCGTTGCTAAGATACACAGCCCAGCGTCAATTCAGTGTCCTCCTGTGTGTGATGCTGGGCACCATTCTCCAGAGGGGACTTTAGCAAATGGGAAGAAAGGGGGAAGAAAAGGTTCATGCAGAGTGGGAGAAAGACAGTTAGTGTGATTAGACAAGATAAGAAGGGAACACACAAACAGAGAGACATTGCTATTTCAAAGCTATTTCCAAACATTGATTTTTCCAACAACCACAATAATTGTGTGAATAGTTACTTGCAAACCTAATTGATTTCCATTCATTAAAGACTATAGTAAAAGAACTTGGGAAAATAACCTGGTCTAGTAAAAATAAGGTTCAGGCTAGGTAATTACAGTTACAGCTCTAATCACTTCTGCAAAGTAGTTATCATAACAGGTTTCAAAAGCAACTTCCTTATTTCTCAAAGTAACTCAAATAATAGTTTAAGCCAGTGGTTCTCAACCTGTGGGTCTCCAGGTGTTTTGGTCTGCAACTCCCAGAAATCCCAGCCAGATTACCAGCTGTTAGGATTTCTAGGAGTTGAAGGCCAAAACCCACAGGTTGAGAACCCACAGGTTGAGAACCACTGGTTTATGCTCTTTTTATAAAAAAAATCTGCATATTGCAACATAAGGCACAGCATAGGGCAGTATTTGAACTATATTTGTGATTTTTTTAAAAATAGAGTCATGCCTGCTTTTGGTAAAATTGCAATGTAACTTACTTTTTTGTTATTTTGAAAAGAAACTAACAAGTAACTTGTTAATTGACACTAATGATGGCTTAGTAGGAAATTACCTCACCCTGAAACATTGTGAAAATACATGCACACAGCTCAGTCACTCCATGAGCCATCCATGTTTGTAGCTAGTTCCCTCCAAGAGCTGAAAATATGATGCCCAAATTAGCTGATTGCCATCTTTTTATTGTTCTCATTAAAAGTAACCATGGGAGTAGGCTCTATTTGGGAGGTGATTTGACAGCCATCTCTAAATAAGGGCAGTTATATAAAAACATGAAGCGAGCTTATTTTCTGCTGCTCCAGAAACTACAACATGAACCAAATAACTAGGAATGAGATTTTACCTAAACATTAGCAAGAATTGTTCAACTGTAAGACAGTGGAATAGACTTCCCTGGAGGATAGTGTTCAGATTGCATGTTCTTTGAAGGTTTCTAAGCAGATGCTGGAGGGCCATCTTTAAGGATTGCTTTGGTTGTGTATTCCTGCATGGCAAGATTTTGAAGTAGATGGTTGTTCCAATCCCTTCCAGGTTTATGATTTTTAACAACAACAACAACAACAACAAATAGTCCAGGGCAACCTTAAAAATAGCCCCAAAGAGCACAATTAGAGCAGTTTGGCAGCAATTTAACTGTCATGGCAAATCTAGTGAATTTCTAGGTTTGTAGCAGAGTGAGATATATAGAATTTTCAACCGAGTGTGCATCCTCACAGCTCACAAAATGTTCGAGCTCCCACACTTTTACCTGAGGCAGGAAAACCCATTGGTGATCGGCAATCACCTTTAGAAGCACTGATATGAAGAATGCATAAACATTTTCATCTGTTGTTTGAGAAATTATTCCACATGGTCTAAATTATGTGAAAGAGTCAAGGCTTTTAGTACTGAATGGAAGGA